TATAAAGTTGTGCCTAATCTTGGCCATGGTCTTCTCAACTACTTGTTATGCTTCAGAGAGCTGGACAATGACAAAGGATGACAGAAGAATAATAGATAGGTGCCTTCAATTTGTGGTGCTGAAGAGGGGTCTTGACTGCCATGAAAACAAATATGTCTGTCTTAGAGAGGGTGAAGCCAAGTCTTTTCTTGGAGGCTAGGACTTTGAAGCTCCATCTCACTTATTTGGGGCACGTGGCCAGGAAAGATCAGTTCTTGGAGAAGGACATCATAGTTGGAAGGGTAGAGGGACAGCTCAGGAGAGGAAGACCCTAGATAAGATGGATTGATACAGTAACTGGGGCAATGTGTGTTGGTGTATCAGAATTAGTGAGACTGGCTCAGGACAGGGCAGGGTTCAGAGCTGCTGTACATGGGGTCACAGGTGACTGGATGGCATACATAACATAACATAACATAACATAACATAACATAACATAACATAACATAACATAACATAACATAACATAATAATCACAAGCCTTCAGGATTGTAGCTTCTTACCATTAGGCCACCAGAGAAACTAAATAATTTGTCCAAGGTCACGTGGCTAGCAAGTGACAGAGTCAGGGTTTGAACATAGGTGTCCTTTTGTTCCAAGTTTGTGGCCTTATTCATTGTGATCTGTTGTCTCATGGATAAATTTTAGTGCTAAACATGACTACTGTTAACAAACGTTTTTCTTAAAAATTAATCAGCAGCTTCTCAGTGTGGATATAAATGAATTCACGGATGACTGTTTAAGTGAAATGTTCTTCCAAAAGAATCTTTGATAGAGGCCTAATGAGAATGTTAGTGAAATGACAGGGTTTTTTAATGTGGAACATCGCATTTGAAAACATTTAACATTTTGTAATTTTTAAATAGCATCTCTACACTTTTGAAACAGACCTGGAGGTTGTCAGTTGCTCCGTCAATAATGGGAAGACTTTGCTTGGTGAGTTGATCGGTCTCTTCTGTTACTTAATGTCAAAAGCTAAATTACACCATTTAAGAGTTTTAAAATATTGCAAGTTGGCATTGAATTAGTCCGTAGTAATGGCTTTTTGGGGAAAAAGATGTTCTTAGATAATTAGGTTTGCAGAGTAAAGAATCTATACAGTTTCTCAACGAAGGATGCATTATATTCTGCTTTAGCGTTCACTAAGAAGTTCTTTATTTCAGGTACAAAATAATAAAATGTACACATCCAAACCATTATATTTAATGGATTTCTCCCTCCCCCTTTTCTACTAGCTGTAAGTTTAATTCAAGCTACTAAAGAAGGAAGAAGGAATGAACTTCAACCAGGTACTAAAATTACCCTTTTAGTGCATGATGGCAGATAAGATGGGCTATTAAACCAAATTTCACATATCTTTAGAAATAGTTTTACCTTATAATGAAATCACAAACATATGACAAGCAGGACAAATCTTTTTTCTTTTTCAAGTGAACAGGAAATTCCAAGTATACTGTATAAATATTTTTTCTTATAGGAGGTTAAGTATTGACTTAATGTATTGTGATTATTCACTACTTTTAGAAAACCAAACACCAAAGCCCAAATTCATTACCTTTGAGTTGATTCATACCCATTGTGACCCCAAGGACAGAACTGCTCTATTACCTTCTGGAGATTGTAATTGTTCTTTTCTGAATTATTTATGCATCTCAGAATAACTTGTTCTACTTTTTGTGCTTGTGGTGCAGTATGTCACAAAGTCTTGGTAATTTTTAAGTGATGCATGACACTACAGCCTAGTGTGAATGTGTCACAGTTTCTTTTCAATCACAGTTGATGGACACTTGGGTTGTTTCCAGTTCTTTGCTATTGTAAATGATGCTACAATAAACGTAGGTGTAAATACGCCAGTTTGTGTTACAGCTCTCATTTCTTTGTGACAGGCATCTAGTAGAGGGATTGTTGGATCAAATGGTGCTTTTATTCTTAGCTTTCTAAGGAAGCACAAAATTGCTTTCTGTACTGGTTGCACCATTATGGAAATGTTGACTCAAATATTTTTTAAAAATTGTTCTCAGACAATGACAGCTATCTGTGAATTTGACTCAGTGTGAGGGATGTGTCCTTTCTCCATGCCCATTTAATCTGTGTTTGAGAAGATTATTTGAGAAGCTG